ATACCTATTACTTATAATATAATATATACAGTGCTTGGAAAATATTCCTTTAAAAATTAAATTAGTTCACGTTCATTATGTTAAAAAGGAACTAAATCGTTTCTTATCTCTAGAAAGGAACTAATTCCTTTCGTCGTTCCTCAATTATTTGAAAATTTTATTTATATAATTGTTTAATTATGTGGTTGTTATATTTTTAAAATGTTTAATTTGTTTATTTCATACAATTAAAAACCGATAGGACCACCGTAACTGCAGATTCAACAGTTTTAACATTTTCAATAATATTATCATTTATCATATATTTTCGTATAATAAGCTCATTATAACAGTATAACAGAGACTAAATTTCTAAAAAATCTTCAAAAAGTTTTGTCATAAAAATATTTAAATTTCGGCTTAAGATTTTAAGAATATATTGTAAATGAACAAAATTCCATTATGTTCCTTTATATAAAAAACAAACTATAAAATACGTTCCAGTTAAGTTCCTGAAAATTGAACGACATAGTTGGAACAAATTGTTTTGAACGCGTTCCTCCCAAACACATGATAATAATATATATTTGAATTTATCATTTATATATGCGTATTAACACTATAAATAAATCGACCTAAACAAAAATAAACTTAATATTAAGTATTTTTTATACTTTCATAGCGCACATACCTATATGTATGTAACTATTACGTATATTCTAGTAATTCTTCTATAGTTATTATGGTCTATTTTCTGATCCACGGGTCTATATCTCAATTCTATTGTATGCAAATTATTTTTAATTATAAAAACAACAGCTCATCTACGGTTAAAAAAAATTTCAAAACTGAGCGCGCATCCACATCATTATCATTTACATTATAATATTATAGTAACAGCTGCGATAATAGGTAGTACACATAGGGGCACCCCCGCGAAACCGTTCGCACGGTATAGTATTGATTTCCTCCGGTCGCCATCCTAACCRACAGCCGTTTACACAAGTGGCGGTGTATGGCGACGGTATCATTGTCGTTGTTAGGTCGCAAGCAAACGGTTTACGCGCACGAATTTCTATTCGATTTTTTTTTTTTAATCTCTCAATTTCATAGAGATTTCTTCGAACGGAAAAAGTAACGGTAAAACTTATTCAGTTATGCATTAAGTATATAGAAACAAACGAAAAAAAATCACCCGTAACGCCGTTCGCCAGGTA